GGGGGGAGGGGTGTTATAAATGGGTGTGGCTCGCCCAAGCAGGGTCTTATCTGAATTCTACATATATCTGTGGCAAGCCAAATGATTGTTTTCAATGTTTGTAAGGTCTAATGTTTTTTAGTTTTCTCCATTTCTGTTTAATTTACACAAAATTTATCATTATTTTTCCAAGGTAAAAATGGAGTCTCAAAGAGGCCACATAAGTCATGACTTATAATAGTCTGTAATTCTCCGAAGAAAAGATATTTTTGGGATTCCTTCCTAACTCATGAATAACTTCCCAATATGCCTCCATACAACAAATTTGGTTGAAATCCCCTGACCCCCACCTTGCCACCCTGGGCTGGTTCTCTCGTGGACAAGCTCTTAATGGTTGTAATCATTTGCAGACTTATGTCAATTTACAATCGCTGGGTCCAGTTATAACTGACGTCATCATCGGTCATACTTTCTGGTTGCACGTAATGACTCTGTTTTACGGGGGGTGGGGGTGGGGCTGCAACAGCAATGTTCTCATGGCGTTCAGTGGGTAACTGTATAGGCCACACTGTCGATGGCACTATCAATGCTGTTGTATCCGGATCTGCTACGACCCCTTCTAAATACCGCATAGACTACTGCATAGTACAGAACGAGGAGGGCAGCCTGAAAACGGTCATATACACATTATAATAAAGTTCATAGAGGCCAAGGCCGCCTCCATAAATGTACTATATGATAGTTCGATTCAATAAAAGGATATTTGCGCAGCTGCACAACCACTGACAGAGCGAAAGAAGGAGAGAGATAGAAAGAGAAGTTTGAAAACGAACACATATTTTAATTAAAAAGTGTTAGAAAAGACACCTTTGTTTTGGAACCATTCACTTCATATATTTATTTCTACTTAATTCCCAATCGTTATTTCCCTCTCTTCATAACGGAAATGTGTTTCATATAGGGGTTTGCGGTCCACTTCACAAATACGCACGCGTTTCAAGTTTTATTTACTGTTTTACTCTCCCGTAAGGCCTCCCGATAACATGTTCCACAATGGCTGCCCCAATAAGTGGCCTGATTTAGTTCATTAAAAGAAAGAAAAAATCCAAAGAAAGCTGGAGTTATACGTGAAATTAAATAAATTGTGGCGAGTTTTTACTCATTTTCCATTTACAAAATTATAATTCAGTTTTATAAAACGGGGATATTACTGCGAATAACGTGACTATATATATATTTGTTAATGTTATTAAAATATAACCTTGGAAAATCTCGACTTAGCGTCTGCAGGCTGAATCTCGCTTATATCACTGAATGGAAAAAAGTACCTCACTAAATTCGAAAGAAACAGGTTCACTTTTATAACATGGTCCCTCCACTATCCCTTAGCAAAATGAAAAGTTTGCAGCTATATTGCGGCAAACTTGCAGAAAATTTGGGTTTAGTTTGCAGCAGCTAGTTTGCAGGAGTTTGCAAGAAAAACTTATATTGCTGCTAATTTGCAACAAATTTGCCATGACAACTAAAGTTTGCAGCAGGTTTACAAGAAAAAGTCTGTATGTTCCGGCAAATTTCCAGCAAATTAGCAGCAAATTTGCAAGAACATATTAAGTTTGCAGTAAGTTTGCAAGAAAGTATTCAAGCTCTTGCAAATTTGCAACAAATTTGTAGCAAATTTGCATACCAAAGATTTTATAACAGAAACATATGTTATAATGTCACATACTCTCTCCAATATAACTGCATAATTTTATTTGTTCAACAAAACTATACAATAAATGAATAGGAAATATTTCCCCGGACCCGTACATGTATGAAATATTGCTGACAAATTACATTTAGCATTTGTTTTTATATTATCTGGTAATCCATTGGACCTGCAATAATATGGAAGATGCTGATGAGTTTGGTTAAATCTCAACTACAACAATTAAACGAGATGACAGTTTGAGTTGACAGAACTCTGTAGCCAATGGAAAAACCCATTCAACAAACACAATGAAATGTGAAAATAGTCTCAACTAGCTAGCGCAATGGATTTGGTAATATTAAAGTAACACAATCAAATGTGAAACTATTCCCAACTAGCACAATGAAATTTGAGAGCATTTCCAAGAAACACAATGAAATGTGATAACGGTCACTATAAGTACAGCAAAATGTGGTAACTGTCAATATAAACAGTATAAAAAAACGAAGCCAATAATAAGTGCCAGGTCAGCGGCAAGGTACCGTATCATGGCAATTACAATTCCGTTTTCTAGGCTATAAGGTAACTGGGGTTCTATACCTCAATCCAATCTCCCAAGAATGTATTTACAATTTTGGCTTGTTACAAAATGTCACTTGCACATATCTGACAACTTTACACTTAAAGCTTAGCGTACTATATATTAGCCATATGATTGCGGGCGCGTAAGCTGGTTGGGGGGGGGGGGGGGGGGACGAACCGCCCTCGGGTCGGTGTGACAGGAATGGAAGTCCGCTAGGAACCGTAGTCCGCTTCCCATTCTTTGTACAGGTGACATTCTTCCCATATAATAACCCCAATACTCTAAGTAACCCTAACCTGCACTAATCGTTAGCGAGATAGTTCGGTCGGTAGTTATTCTTATTAACGACTGCTTCGTGAGTCGGGCCCCAGGTACGGCGAACTACAATCTAGCTTAGTGACTGAGGGCAGCGTCATTCATACTCCGACTGCAAGTAATGTTCTTGTAATACTGGATAAGGGGTTGGTGGCAATAACAGTAAACTACTGTCGTTATGAATGTGATTGTAAGTGGCACTGTCAATGGAACTGTCAGTGCTGCTGTACCTGGACCATTTACGTCTCCTTCTAAGTACTGCATAGATAATCCCACAGTATAGAACGAGGAGACCAGCCTGAAAACAGACACAAGACGCACATATAGTAACCAGTATATGAATAAAATTTACGTATGTTCATAGAAGCATTTGCTGCATCCATACCGTGAAAATGCTTAGGTAAGGATATATGTTAACATCCTGAAACAGAATGCAAAGAGATAGAGAAAGATGTAAAAACGAACACGTATTTAAATAAAACAGGTTCAAAGAGGCACTCTTCGTTTAGGGTTACTTACCTAATTATTTCCCTTCATCAAAAGTGTGATTTTCATGAGGGTTTGTGACCCACTTTATAAAAAGAAAAACTTTTCATGCAGAATTACTGTTTTTGTCCTGCCAGTACTTACTTCTCCCAGGCAGAGCCCCGTAAGGACTCCCGATAACGTGCTGAATGGATTATGTTCCACGATGGCTGTTCCCAAAATCGGCCCTATGAAGTTCCTTAAAAATATAAAGAAAATTATTCAATTTTATATGGAGAGTTTTGTGTGAAGTAAATTAATTGGGAAATTAAGGCATACATACGAGTTTTATGTTTATTTTCTTTAACTAAATTAAACTTTTAAAGAGGGGGGAGCCCAATAATTTGTAGAAGACAAACATGAGTGACTGAAACTGTCAAAAGAAACAGTGAACATCTAAAATTCAATTTTGCTAGCTATTTTATTCTTGGATAATTAAAAGTAATGAAGAGCTCCTCTGAATTAAAAACAAGCATGTCGATTATAACCTGGCTGTTTCAACGTGTTACAGCACTGAATACATTTTGACCTTTGACCCAAGTTTTATTCACGTGAAAAAATGTTTCAGAATGAGTAAAAATACCTACAACGTTTTAGTATTTTTAAAACTTATACAGAGCATACAGCACTGGGATAATTATAAACAAATCTATAGCAGGAATAACACGTGAGATAAATTCATTTAACTGCTACATTAACTGATTTAACAAAGCAAGTAAAACGAAGAGGAACCATACAGACTCTTACCCTAGACCCATAGATGTATTGAATATTGAGGACAAATTACCATATGTGATTATACTATCTGGTAAACCATGGGACCTGCAATTGTACATATAAATAAAACGAATGAGGTAAAATAATACCAACTAGCACAATAAAATGCAATAGCAATACAACTGATGGGGTAATATTCTCAGTTATTATAATGAAATGTGATAAAGATCTAGACTTACATAATACGATATTAATTCATGTAACAAACTAATGACATTTGCGCTTTTAACTAGAATATTGAAAACTGACGACAATTTTTGAATGTTTTGTGAACATTTTAATTGATGCTTAGTCTACTTTTCGAGAAAAAATGACATTTGTTTTTTAAGTAAATTATAATAATATTCAATATACGGAATGCCGCATAAGGTCTCAACTTACACGGCTTCGTTTACACAATCTGCCATGACAGCTACAGTGATACTGGCGGTTCCAATCCCCCCCAAACAAATCCCCCAAGAAAAAAACCCCCCCCCGCCCCGGAAACCCAAAATTAAAAACAG